ACTCAATCTCTCTGGTACAGTGGAATAGCAGGCTAGGGGTTGTCACTATGTGGTTTTGTGAAAATAAAGTTAGCTCCAATCATTAATGCACTGCAGAGCTGCACATTGTCGATCTGGATAGAAAAGACAGAGTGAAAAAGTCACCGCAGTATATACACTTGCCCTGCCTTGGGGCTGAAAACAGGCCTCATCCACTGAAGATGAGAGAGCAGCGTCTCCGATTCTGCGGAAACCTACTGAAGAGACCTCCAAACCATCCATTGAAGGAGGTAATAGAGTTTGATGATCCAGAGAAGTAACCAGGAGGTGCCCCAAAGCAGAGGTGGCTGGACGTGATCACAAAGGGCCTCGCCGGAGCTGAAGTGACGGCAGAAGATACCGTAGATACAAAGAAGTAAAGTTGCTGACAAGGCTGGCAAGAACAACGAAACCTTCGACAGCACGGGATTGACGCTAGGGAGATGGAACAAAGAACGAATATCTGCTGATACCTTCTACTAGATATAATAACCGAGTTTTTTTTGGAGTACGAATTGTTCATCGTAGTCAATTCCAGTTCATTTATTTTCAATGTCGAACATCTATTGCCATGCCTAATAGTTGTGGCATTCAGGATGGTCCAGAACTTCTCGCTTTTCTTCCAAACCTCCCATATCCTTAGACTGATATAGTTGTAAGTGCGCATTAGTTTCTGGCAAGAGTTTTGACGCCAGCAGTAATGTCTACGTCGGCGATAGAAGAACTAGCCGAGCAAACATCTCCAAAATGGTTCAAGGCTCATTTACTTAGGCACATTTATGGATATCGACCTTGGTTTGAACTGTCGAGTGCCAATAATTCATTATAAAAACTGAACTGGATTTATATTCGAGATAGCCGCCGTCTCAATGTCAAGCCCATCGTTGAATTCGCTTCCACAGTAAAGAATTTAATAGGGGCTGATTAACCTGTTTTGGAATACTGAAATGGGAAATTGCAATTCAACTGCAGCCAGTGCGAGTGAAACCGGTAAGTCGAGCTCTCTGACCGAACCAGTGTTCTATTGTAGACATAAACGGAAACTTTCGTTCAACATACCGAAATGAAGGCGATGGAAAACAAGGTTGAAGTTGGGTTGGTCGAGAAGTCCTGCCATACCTGCACAGGTCCCTCGGGAAAAGGATCAGAAGTCTTTGAATCTTCGAATCCTGTTTCCTTACAGTGGGTCCGGATTCTCATTTGGAAAGAGCCTCAATTGCTCACAGCACTGATCTTTTCGGATAGATTCGTCTACCAAATGGCAATGGACCAGTGACACCGGATTTCTCAAGTGGATATGTTCTATTAAGAGATACAGAACGTCCTGATGGCCTTCGAGAAGGGAATGATGACCGTTTATTCAACGTCTTTCAAGCTTTTCCCTTTATAATCAGCAGTATGTAGCTCGGCAGCAATATTATATTGACTCTCTTCGAGAAATCTCGAGTTTCTTGTCGATCTCGCTATTCTCGTGAAGGATGCCTCATAAAATGCGCTGACAAAAAACGATAAATTGCTTTCCGTGTGTGGATTTCCTTGTACAGCACAGTGACCAACGACAAGGCGAAGGTATCTTGTATAAGATTCAGAAAAAATATGGATTTAAAGCCGTTTGTGAAGTCAAAAGTACATTTTCGTAGGGTTTGCGTACTGATGGGACGCTGGCACAAAGATCTGCTGAGAAGGAATGCTGGTTCAGTGGTAAAGTCCACGTGTCCACTGTGATGCCATCCAAACTCAAAAAGTGACCGACGATAGCCGTAAACTTGACTAGAAAAAGTGAACTACGGTAATACTTCGAGAATAGAAATTAGGTTGGCACATGGTTTCCGGACCACCACTCTGAGGATTTTTTGTGATTAAACTTTTCTCTTGGACATAGCTCTTCAACACAGCATGCAACACTGTTACCTTTAACATAGTACCATCGCTCGAGTAGTAGTAGTATTTGATTCCTCTCACGAAGAACTTCATTGCCTTCTGGTCATGGGAAGGTATGATGTCGATTCTGAGTTCATTACTGTCTGCGTAAATTTTTCTCCTTAGAAAGGTCTAGAAAATGAAAAGTGTGGCAAGCAGTCGATGTAAGGTCAGCGGTGCAGGATGAATGAATCGTACAACTACGGGCCTCGGATTTTTGTGACCTTCCTTAAGTTCACGTGTTATCACGCAGAAAGTGAACTTGATTTGTGTACATGTGCCTTCAACTTGCTGGCTCCGTGGTCGAGTTCGCACAGCAAGATTCTGTACTGTATTAGGTGCTAATCATCAGTTTCCAAAGAGTTCCTCATATGCCACAGAACAGAAATACAGAAGGGCCTCTTTTGGTTGAAGCTCATCCGTTGCAAGTGCAGGGTTGGGGTCTGAGCTGCTATGAATTGAAGCACTATTGGGAAAACTGCGCTTAAACAGTACCTACCTCTTATAGCCACCGTCAGTGTTGGATAGCTAGTCGAGGATTTGATGAAAAGTTGAAAAAATTATTTTTTTATAAGTATAAGAGAAACATGGAAGAGGTAAACCCATTTTTTTCATCAAAGCGTTTAGAAATCTGGAGGAGAGGGTGGGGGAGGAAGGGAAGGGGTTAGGGGAGAGGGAGAGTTTCCTGAGCCCCTAATGGTGATTATTTGGTAGTGGATGATGAAGCCTCTTCGTTTTAAAGAGGATTATAGACACCGAAATGTTGTTTCAAGAAAATGTTGTTTTTCTCCTACAGTGTTTTCACAGCTTAGGTAATAAAACATGTTCATGTGAACAAAGGTTCTTCAATAAGACCGGTTAGATGGTTTATAATCCGTTTAAAAGAACTAAACATCAAACTAGACATTGTGCAACTCACAGAAGTGCTTTATGGCTAAACCAGAATGCTTGAAAGTGTGCGGATAGGAGACGAACTTGAAAGTCAGATCAATGGATTCAACCAGTTACACCCATTACCTTGGAATCAAGGAAGCCATACTAGTTTATGCTGCTCTGTACTGCAAATCGAGTGAGAAGGATTTTCTTAAAGCTGTAGAGAAATCAATCTGCGATTCCGCCACGCACAAGTATGATTCATTATAGGGTAATTCCATACCACTGGAAAGAAAGTTTTGCTCTTAAGTACTTCACTCTGTATGCTTGATTTAGTAATTGAATCATGAACGGAATTAAGAGTAAGGGGTATAGTGTTTACAGGGTATGAAGAACGTTTCTATGTTTTCTTTAAGTAAGACGGTAGATGAAGGGCTGAGGACATGGGATGCAGCACGTACATAGGTGTCACGTCTTGGTTGAGGCTGCACAGTTTACTTAATTGTACATTATTGTACTACGTGTATTTGCCATGGGAGGATTCATCGAGAGTCGATCATTGTCGCTTCCGAAAGTCCACGCGATTCAGCACAGTATTCCATCGCGATCATCTGATTTCTGCAGAAATGACTAGACATTCTACGAAAGGCTGTACTTTTTTTGGGAACAACTCTGTACATTAAGGATGAAGTCGTGTTGTTAATTAAGGGCATGAACGTTCTCCGGTGGAGCATGCGATTGAAGCTCTGTAGTCCTTCGAGGGTTTTAGGAATATTGAAGGTGTATCCTGTAATTGTAGTTCAGCTGCAAACCTTTCTAATTCATTCCATAATTTAATTGCAGATGCATTTGGTGACTGCTCAATAGATAACATTCTGGAGAGCAGTGCAGTCCTTCATCCTAATACAACAACAATGGTGAGACGTTCGTCCACCCATCCACTTTTACTATTATACTTTCTTGCAGTTTTTATTGTCTTGTGAAAATATAACTTGTGCATATCAACCGCCTTCGATGCCAACCTAGTGAGGTATAATTTCGGTTCCTTAAATAATGCATTGCAAAATATTCCGGTGAACTGCAAGCATTCAAAAAGTATAACGGGATGAAGGATTTCCGAGAAGTTTATTTCCTTACATAGGAAAAAAGAGTATCATTCACAAAGACCACACGACTTGGCACAGTATTCCTTCGCAATTGCGTGATAGTTAGAGGTTATGCATGGAGGCTCGTTGTCGTTTGGTAGAGGTGTTTGCATGTATACACAAAACCTTTCTCCTGCTTTCGTCTCCGCCGCTTTGTCCACGCACGGCTGAAAAGATCAAGTGAGACGGGAATGAACTAGATTCAATGTTTATACGTTGTTTGTTACAACCTCAAGCGGTTCGGCTGTATTCCCTATAGAATAAACATCCAGAATCCAGGACAAGGCTCCTTTAGTATTGTTAATCGCTGCTGGATAAGATAACTTACTTCCGCTTTACTTGTGAATGCGTTCAATAGAACAAGGGTGTAAATAAGGTAGAAGAACATTTTGGGTGCCGCTAGATTTGTGATGAGTTCTATGACCTGAAGCAATTTATACTAATATTCACAAAATACTGCACTTTCCCATTGTGTATTATCATTCTCTGTCATAAAGAGGAAGAACAATGGCAAACTGTGGAGTATTTTGTGCATTTGCAATTGTGCAATTGTTTTTTTCAACAGGGCAGTTCACGGTGAGCGAATTCGGTAAAGCAAATGAGGGTTCTCGCAAACACTGCACAGTTTTAAATTGTTATACCTTTTTATGTCAGAAAATGATATTACACAATGGGAAAGTGCAATATTTTGTTGATTGTGGGCTTCCATATTACTTATACAGAATGAATAGCAATTGACGGCCTCTATGATCGGAATCGCTCCAACCACCTGCAACGAAGAAGCTTTAATTCCAATAATACATTTGTAAAATTTGATTGAATGGAATGAAATGCTTTTGGAGGATTCTACTTCTTAACTCAAAGAGGCAAAATCACTCCTAGGTTCAATCATGCGATTATGCAGCCTATATTCCAGTCCGATTATATTAGTGATGACAGTACAGTACAGTCTAGCAGGTGGAAGCGTCCTAAAGAGAGCTACCATTACAAGTTTGGTCTTTTATTTTCACTGGGATAGACTCTATGGGACCTTTGGAGGCTTTAGTGATAACATTGATAAGCGCTCGATTCAGAATCAAGCAAATTTCAGCTTCTAAGAAAGTGGCCGGATTTCGCAGGATTGGTATGATTTTTAGTTTGCGCACTTATCGTTTTTCACGAGTATCCAACAGGACCGTACTGGAATGGAAAATATTTGCAAAGAGTTTCATCAGCACTTTGGAGTTCGTTTACACAGATCCGACCCTGATCAAAAGATCGCTCATGGTTCAGTATAAATGATGTAGGATTACCACAGTCCACCACTTTTCCAGCAACATCCAAAATGTTCTTCTACATTGTCTGCGCTCTTGCCCTACTCAACGCCTTCACAAGTGTAGCGGAAGTAAGTTATCATATACAGCAGCGATTAGCAATACTAAAGGAGCCTTGTCCTGGATTCTGGATGTTTATTCTATAGGAAATACAGCCGAACCGCTTTCGTTGAGGTTGTAACAAACAACGTATAAACATTGAATGTAGTTCATTCCCGTCTCACTTGATCTTTTCAGCCGTGCGTGGATAAAGCGGCGGAGACGANAGCAGGAGAAAGATTTTGTGTATACATGCAAACACCTCTACCAAACGACAACGAGCCTCCATGCATAACCTCTAACTATCACGCAATTGCGAAGGAATATTGTGCTAAGTCGTGTAATCTTTGTGACTAACAGGTGTCGGGTGACAACCTGTGTTGCATTGAAATAAATACTTCTCAACAATCTATCTTTGGTTCCCTTTAAATCATTCTCTTAAACGAAACCCGAAAAAAAGTTTTTTTTGATTTGCTCCAACGAAGGTATTAGTAGCTGAAGAAAAGCTAGGTAATTTAGTTTGCAGTACATGCATTAGGCTACTACGAAATTCCAACAAAATTCCAAACGCCATGTCAGACCTTGATCAATTTGGAAGCTCCTCTGCATTAGTAGGAGGAGTCACGATTTCTTGGTTGAGTACCTCTTCGAAAACGTTTCTCGATGTATTGAGTTGGAATAGATTCGAAGATAAAGTGAGCCTTCAATACACATTGTAATCGGACACGACTATTACTGGGTGAAGGCTGAAGATCTAAACGCAACAAAAGATGCGTATAGGGGCACGGACTGGGATTTTCAAAGTCACTTGCTCACATAGACAGTCCTAAGCAACTAAGAGAGGGATTCATGGACTCAGCCTTTTTTTCAGCAGTGAGCAAGGTTTGAGGACCTGCAGTGGGACACTGGCTGTGGCTCAAGTCAGTAGCATATCAACTCAAAACCTCCCATCAGCTTCGCTTTCTTTGTGTTTGTTTGTAGGGCTAAAAAGATGGAATGACATGGAATGAAGCTTCATCGAAATTATCTCTCTTATTATAGAACAGAAACTTGGTGTGTCGGTTTGTCGGTATGTCGGTATGTCTNTCGGTGTGTCCGTCCGCAAATTTCATAATTACGATAAAGGCAGTGATATGGAAAGCCTAGCTCTCACATTTCCTTCTTATACATAGGGCAGTAACTTGGTGGGTGGGTTAATGGAGTACAGTGAATACTGCGTAGTGAAGTGAGTGATGTGGAGTGGAGTGGTTGCTCGAAAACTGTGATTCCGAAGTAAACTGGCCTACAATAATACAAGTCAAATGCATAAAAAGCTATTTCTCTTAGTCGTATTCTTGGAATAGTTCGTTGGAAACTCTATTGGAAATCGGCAGTCTTCGATATCAGGCTTACCAAGAATCATTTTCATATGAACATTCGAATTTAGTTACAGGCGTTTCCCTCCCAACTATGAATCCATTCGAAGGTGTTTGTAAAAAGGCGTGCTATTTTGTGGAAATTTAGTCTTTTTCTCAAATGTGCCATCAATAAGAAGCAGTTTGAGCATAAGATGTAGTGGGCAGACTATGAACAGCTGCTTCCCATCCCGCTGGCAGAGGCATGAGATGTGGTTTGCCTCTGACTGTTGATTATGAAATTAAAAGATGATCGAGTTGCCGCACAAATCTCCGCTCAACTTTCTACAAATCTGGCTTCATTCGCCAAGCAGGGGAAGTTCGTCGCCGTTTTGTCTCATACAAGAAACGCTTCTGCTCTTCGTATCTTTTCTGTTGAGTATGTGCACTTGAATCTTTTTCTGCTGTTCCTTCAACCTACCCATGTCCTACAGGGAGTAAGTCTGAACTGGGACGACCTATTCAATAATGTTGGCAAACGAGGACACACTCAGCAGGCACTCGTGTTTGAAGCCTACAAAATTCCTTCCCTCCTTTGGCTTGGGATAGTACAAAGTGTTCCCACCTTGGAACAACTATCCCAACTCAAAGTGAGAAATCGTTATCCAAGGTTATGATGCTACTCATTTCCAGCAAATACGATCAAAAACAGCCAAAAGTCAGAGACTGATATGGACGTACATTTATTTCTACCTGTAAAAACTATAACAATTTATACCACTCATAAGGACCACATGACTTGGCGCAGTATTCCTTTGCAATTTCCTAAAAGTCAGCGGCCTTGCAGAGGAGCTCCGTGTCCAGGGTTCGAGAAGCTCGCATGTATTTACAGAACTTGTCACCTGCTTTCGTTTCCATCGGCTAAAAAGAGAGAATGACACAGAAATGAGATCCGTTCAGAATTCTTCATCGCAGAGACTCTATCGAAGTGATAGTTTGGTGTTTTCATAAAACCAGATTTTCCTTTCATACAAAGGGTAACGTCATCATGAAAACCGGAAAGATCGTTCAAAAAAACTGAACATCAAACGGGATATAGTGAAACTCTCAGAAGTGACGTTATGGTCAAATCTGAGTGCATGAAACAGATTAAGGAGCCAGCCACACATTGCCTGAGGTTTCAAGGAACTATGTTAGTTCACGATATGCTCAATCCTGCAGGTTCAGGGAGGAGGATTTTATCAAGGGTTAGTGCCGGTGTAGATAAAGCGATCTGCGTTCTACCACATACAAGTACGACATGTCAGGATATTTCCACACCACCCGAAAAAGCTTCTACTCTTAAGTACATCACTCTGGATGGTTATTTTAGTAGTTGGAACATAAACGGATTTCTGAGTGAAGTGGTATCGTGTGTACGAGGTATGAAAAATGTTTCTATATTGTTTTTGAGTAAGACCATAGATGAGGGGCTGTGGATATGTGATACAGCGTAGCGAGCCACGGCAGTGGGTGTTGTTTCGACGGATCGCTGGTAGACTGCTCAAGTACAGGATGTTTATTTAGATATTTATTAGGTTAACAAGTCGTAAATACAGTTAGTACCATTACAAGGTCATACAGTCTGAGAGTTATGCAACCTTGTTCGTTTTGTTTTGGGATTGCTGGTGGTGGGTTCGACTGGCGACGAGTTGGAGCGCTCGGCTTATCTCCTTCGAGTTGTTGCATCGCACCGCTCTTGCTCATTGCTCACTGGAAACGATTGTCTGTGTTCCTTGTAATTGGGTAAGACCATAGATGAGGGGCCGTTAGCGGCACTGCTCAACCCCAAATTCCTCGTCCACTGCTCTCCAACAACCCAATTACAAGCTGTGCAATCGTTTCAAGGTAATTGTGTTAGTTTACTCCCTCTTCACTTGTGAAGGCGTTGAGTAGTACAAGTGCGCAGACAATGTCGCAAAGCGAGAAGAACATTTTGGATGTTGCAGGAAAGTGATGGACTGCGGTAATCCTACATCATTTCTACTGAACCATGAGCGATCTCATTAGGGTCGGAACTATGTAAACAAAATCCAAAGTGCTGATAAAACTCTTTGCAAATAATTACCAATCTAATACGCTCCTGTCGGATACTTCTGAAAAATGATATATCCTAGAGGAAATAGAAGACCAAACTTAAAACTGTAGCTCTCTTTAAGACGCTTCCACCTGCTCGACGGCCGTTTCTATGCTTAGTAGACAAATAGGGGAGAATAAAGAGAGGCAGTTGGTGTTAGTCTTATCACGCTGTCCTTACTATGTAATATAATCGCACTGCAATATTGGCTGCATAACCGAATGATTAAATCTCGGAATGAACTTGTCTTTCTAAGATAAGAAGTAGTATCCTCCTAAAGTAATTAATACCCCTGATTGAAGAAAATTTCACAGTATCATTGGAGTCAAACATTCTTCGTGGTTAGGTTAGAGCAGTTGCGATCGCAGAGGCTGTCAACTGCTAAGCATTCTGCGTACGTAATATAAAAGCTCACAATTCACAAAGTTTGCAATTTCCCATTGTATAATATATCATTTTTTTGACACACAAAGGTTGAATAACGGCAAATTGTGCAATATTTGCGAGAACCCTCATTTGCTTCACCAAATTCTTTCACCGTGAACTGCCCTGTTGAAAAAAAATCGCTCCCTATTCAGTATCAATTGTTCCAGGCTACTGAACCCCGTCACAGTTCTAGCTGCATCCAAAATGTTCTTCTACCTACATTGTTTGCACCCTTGTTCTACTCAACGCTTTTCCCAAGTAAAGCGGAAGTATGTTATCATATCCAGCAAAGATCACCAATACTAAAGGAGCCTTGTCCTGGATTCTGGATGTTTATTCTATAGGAAATACAGCCGAACCGCTTTCGTTGAGGTTGTAACAAACAACGTATAAACATTGAATCTAGTTCATTCCCGTCTCACTTGATCTTTTCAGCCGTGCGTGGATAAAGCGGTGGAGACGAAAGCAGGCGAAAGGTTCTGTGAATACATACAAATACCTCAAGCAGACGACAGTGAGCCTCCATGCAAGACCCCAAACTGTCACGGGATTGCGAAGGAATACTGCGCTAAACCATGTGGCCTTGGTTGAGTATGACGTGTATANTAGCTGTTGCAATGTGGAGAAATAAAAATCGCTCTAAAATCTGTCTCACTTTTTTGTAGAATCTAATCGCCTTAGCCGAAACCAAAATCACTGATAGTCCTCAATCCTGATTTCTGAATTTGAGAGGGAATCGGATGTAGGTGGGTCATTCAAGTCGCTGTGATTGCAGTCTACCTGGTAATCAAATGATGCCGATAAAATACAGTCTATGGGGAAACTGGTCGTCAAATCATGTGTGTACCGAATCGTTCTAGCGGGTGGTTATTCTTGCAGATCGAAGATTTGAAGGATGCGTTTATAAAATAATGAAAAGTAGGTAAAGCCGGACAGAAAATTACAGCGAGGTAGGAATAGTCATTAAACCAACCTCTGGGTCCCAACACAGTAGAAACGCCGTGAAGAACTTTAGGCTCAGGGTGCCCACAATCTGCTTCTCTCAGATACAGGTCAGCTTCATCCCCTCTGATTCGCAGCTCCTAGAGAGGCCTTTTTATTAGGTTGTTCGGAAAGGAATGCGCGTTTGAGTTCGAAAAATTTTTCATTATAAAAACGAAACTAAACAAGATCAATTCAAAAGGTATTTTCCATTACTATCAATGACTTGTTGCTTACGTCTACGCAACGAATGGATTCTTCTTCTGAAGAACTCGGCCGGCTGCGTTTCAAAGTAGCTGGCCACCCTGAGTTGGACGTTTTCGCGGTTTTTGAATTCTCTCTCTGCCAAGAGGTGCTGCATTGACCAGAGCAAATCGTAATCGGGTGGTGCGAGATCTGGGCTGTATGGCGGATGAGGCAGTACTTCCCAGCCCATTTCCTCAA